CGGACATACATGTGTTAAGTGTAGTTGTCGCACGTATCAGGCATTTATACCATACTTTGTCGACAATAAACCTGACTGGGCGCCTTCATGACTGAAACAGATTTGTGGTCTTATTGGGTGGTTTGATGGAGGTCTGCTCTGTCAGCTACCTGCGCAGAGCCAGGTCAGCATGCCGAAAGACACCCACACGCAGCCAACATCTGACAACAACTGTAGTCATGTTGGTCCCAGAATATTAGAGACAAGGTGGGTGAGGTAATATCTTTTATTGGACAAATTTCTGTTGGTGAAAGAGACACGCTTTTAAGCTTACACAGAGCTCCTCTTCAGGTCTGGGAAAGGTACTCAGAATGTCACAGCTAAACACAAAGTGGAACTGATTGTTTAGCATAAGCAGTTAACACATATTTCAAGGGCCCATTCAAAGTGAAATGGTCAGTTAATACCTCTGTAGTCATAGGACAAAAAGGGGGGGGAGGCTAGTGGTTTTCCGATTGTTGTAACAAACCATAAATCCAGTAACTTTATTAAGTCCTTGACTTTTAGCATCTAGCAATGTTATAAATTTAAGCTCCCAGGCTCATCTTTTGAAGGTGTTGTACAGGTTTCCTTTGAGGAGGAAGACTGAGAGACCACAAAGGCAGTGATCACTTCGTCAAAAGTGTTCATCCTTGGGTGACATAATGTTTTTGTCTTTTATCCTTTTTCTGTGATTGCTTTCATCCACACAATTGTTATCGAGGCATTTAGTGCACTGGATGATGTACACCATACACTGTGATAGGCATGTGTTGGACCCATGGATCTTGAAGAGTGTGTTGTGCAGGGAATTGATTATCATAGCAGTGGAGATGTGTCTGCAGGTTTTGCATCAGCTGTTATGGCAGGATCTGGTGCTGCTTTGAGTTGGTGGGTCCTGGTGTGTGGGGAGCTTGCTTCTGATGATGAGCTTGGCAAGGTTGGGGGGGTTTCGGAAGGCCACATGAGAGGGTTTGGAAAAGATTTCTTTCAGGATGTGGTCCCAATGGAGTATGGGTTGTAATTGTTTAATGACAAGGTAGGTGAGGTAATATCTTTCATTGGACAACAGTGCAAATAATGCTGGTAGCTTCTGTTTAACATCCTCCGGAGATACTAGTGGAATGGAAAGAAAATGGAAGATCTAACTCATCCTTTCAGCCTGGCCCAACCAGTTTCATTCCGCAACTACCACTTCCCATTAGCTATTCTGTTAGCAATCCTCTTTTAAAAAAACAGCTGTCATTGTGACACTTCCGTTCCAGCCAGGAGAGCATATCTGTTTTCAAACCAACAACCACGCTGCATTCAGTGGCCAGCTGGAGGGTGCTAATACAGAGCTCAAACCGGCATCCTCTGTGCATACTGAGCAGGAAAGCTAGCGTCCCATGGCCAGTCCCAATTCCATTTGTCCTGCATTGTAGCACTCTGTGAGCTACTTCATTGCACATAGTTCAAATTAACTGGATTATTTAATGATGTCTGTTTATTAGTTCTACTTCGATTGCAGTGTTCATGAATAAGCAGATGACAAGTTAACACCTTGCATTTCCACTGTGCTTTTTGTATTGTTTAGAGAACAACCCCAAACCCTTTGCAAATAACGTTTCTAACTACACACAAGCAACGAAGTGAACAAATAGAATGTGGCGGCCACTAAGTTAGGAAGATTCTACATTCAGCCACAGGCATTAGCACTGTGGTGGTGTTATTGTAAATGAGAAAAGAAATTATATCTAATTCTTACATGGTGCTTGTCATCCATACAGCTCAAAAGAAGGTAATTATTATCCCCATTTTACAGATGGGAAAACTGTTTTACAGAAGGTCACCCAGCAGGCCAGTGGCAGGGCCAGGACTGGAATCCAGGTCTCCTGAGCCCCAGTCCAATGCGACTAATTTCTTCACTTGAACAAAACTAGCATGAACCTCCACTCAATATCTCTGCTAAGGTCAGTAAGCCAATTCTGGCCCCTGAGGCACACACACCGCTCACGCTGGTATCAATGGAAGTTGCAACAGTGCATTTGAAGGCCGGTATCATCTCAGTGCCATGGCAGACTGCAGATGGTTGTCTCTTTCACTAACATCTGAATCTGCAAAGAAAGGACTTGTACCTCACTTCTAGCAAGCGTAAGTTTTCAGTGTATTTCTGTATTTGTTTCCAATTCTTTCCTAAACAATAAACCTGTCTGAGCCATCCTTTTGCACACAATGTTGCTGAATTAAACATTATTATTAAATAAAGCTGCCAGCCTTCAGCTGAAGCCCTTTATGTGACTGGTAATGATCTTCTTAACTCCACTGTAAAAGGTTGCTCAGCTGGTGTTTTCAAAGCACACGGAGTTCTTTTCCACTATATACAAGCTTTGAAACCTACCCAGCACCTAAAGAAAAATATTATTTCCTCAGCAATTAGCAAGCGCAACTAATTTAAGAATTATTATCTTGAGCAACTAGTTATTCTAGAAGACTCCGAACAAAATTATTTTCTCTCTCTCTCTCTGCCTACTGGACTTAGGTGTATGGGGCGTACAAACAGTTCTGAATGTAACTTCTGGGTTCTTTGAGCTTCCCTGATCTTGGAGGAAGGTATAGACAACAGTTATGGAAACCATTTGTACCAAAGATTGTTTTCAGAGGTTATCAGAGACACCTGTCGCATAGTATATCTTACAGCACATCTTTTGGAAACTACAGCAGTTTAGGGGGAGAAAAAAATATCTTAAAGCAGCTGAAAGAGAAGACTGGGTGCTTATCACCGTGGCAAACTTTCTATAAATATATGGCATTCAAAAGTACAGTACACTATTCAGGTCCTCATGCTTAGATGCTCTTGAGTCCTTCAAAAGCACTTTTTCTTTTACCATGTGACTATTCAGCAGAAGAAAATCAGCCAGTTTACATAACAGCTGTTAGTGCTAGCTTTGACATATTACTCCTAAGCTGTACATCTATAATGGGTTTTTCAAATGTGTTGCCATGTTCAGTTGATTAGCTGTGGGTGATATGAAATGTCAAACTATTAGCCTTGACAACTACTGCCAAGGTTACTATCTTCTGGAAATATCTTTTTAACCATATAACTGTTTGTAAGTGGGAAAGGTGATGCTCAAAATACAAAGAGATAATAAGTATGAATTATCAAACCAAAACCAGAGAAAGCTTTGCTTTCAGTTTCCTTTGTTATTCATGTCTTCGTTAGCCTCTGAAATGATGGTGCCCTCACAGGACTACATGCAACAACAATTTAAATTGCAGAACTGTAAAGGAAATAAGAAGCTTCTTACCATCACTTTTAACCTGCAAGGCACTAAGGGACCAATCCTATTAGTGATGCATGGCTCATGTGCGTAGTCTTTACTATTGGAAGTAGACCCGTTCAAGGACACAGGACTACTGCATAAGAAAGAACTACCCACACTGAAAGAAAGAATAGTCTTCTAATGCTGGGACTCAGGGAACCTTGATTCAGTTCCCAGCATTGTCGTAGATGCTGTGTGTGACTTCAGACAAGTCTTCCTCTGCCTTAGTTCCCTCTATACAATAATACGCATATAGCCTCACTTGTCTATTTAATAATCATAATCTCTTTTGGGCAGGGGCTGTTTCTTACTATGGGTTTGTACAGCACCTACCACCCTGATCTAGGTAGGCCCTTGAGGCAGTACCATAACATAAATAAGGTTAGCATTATCAAGCCATTCATTATTTAATATTCCACTAAAATCCAAACACCACTCATGATTTACCTTAGGTAATAGATACCTCCCTGCAAACAATAATTCCCAGGGGCCTTTGCACATTAGAAATCTATACCCACTTTAAATTCTGCTTCCATTGTGCTGCAGCTGAGAATTGCTGCATTCACAGCATCTGCAGGTGCCCATGGCTGACATCACAGATATTACACACTACCAATTTCTAATAACAGGTAGCAAAACCACGCAGCCTTTCCAAATACAAATTTTACTCAAGTGTTTTCTTCTGAAGCATTGTTACTTACTAAGCTATGTATGTTTCCTCTCACGCTCTGAATTCTGTAAGACAGCACATTTGCAAATTTCCCCACCAAAATTGTTACATTTAGCTCCTGGTTTCTTGACATTCCTTATGATTTCTTGTGAGAATGTTAATTTATCTGAAAACCATGTTTTTATAGAGCTTGCCGATTCCGCAGCAGGGAATAATGGCTGTGTTCCAGTCTCAGAGTAAGACTCACAGATGTAGAAAAAATTAACAACGATAAGAGCAAGAAACTGTTAATGATCAAAACCGTGCTGCTGCAGGTTCAAGAACAGAGTCTGAAGGAGATAAGTCTGTATGTATACCACCGCTGGGCCAACCAGTGATTATTCAGCTATTCATGGGAACAGAGCTATTGAGTCAAATAACAAAGAACACTATAAGCTGCAGTGTTTTTCTCTCCTTCCTTCCCCCACCCCCCCAATCTGGGAAAACTGATTTTCTTAAATTTTCCCTTGAATCTGCGGCAGGCTTTAATCTGAACCTAATGCAGCCTTTTAAAAAACTCCCATAAATTAAAAATATATCTTCTTATTTTGCACATTTTTGTTCCCTACTGTTAAAGCAAAAAGCACAGATGAATTTGTCTGGCAAAAAGGTGGTGGAAAGTAATCATTGCATTTTCTTATTGTACTACAATACAGTTATATCTTTGTTTTTTGTTTTTTTTTAAATCGCCTTTAAGCACAAAACAAAAAAAGCAAAGCACACAGTGTATGATGAGTCCTTTTCTCAAAGGATGGTCACTTTTTAATTGAACTGCAAGGCATATTTAAATATTAAAATACAGTATTAGAAAAGATAAAAGACATAAGGTAGAGTAGATGATAAAAGATCTGCCACAAATGATGATGAATTATAAGCAAACACAAAATGAAAGATTGCCAGAGAACTCTCTTTTCATCTTACACTCGTGTTTTGCCTCAGAAAATGTGGAGTAGGAAGCTCTAACATACCATTTCTTCAGAAGTTTGCTGTTCCTCAAACACATGTAAGTCATCACTTTGAAACCGAACACTTGAACACTGCATATAGGCAAAAGCAGAGGGCAAACACCTGGGATGGAAACAATTCATTTTTTAAAAAGATGCATTTCGAATTGCATCAGTTTCTATAAAAATGGATTATATTTTGGGTGCCAACTAGATTATGAATTTTATGTGAGAATTTGTCCAATAAATAACCTAGTTTAAATTTTATTGGAGTCCAATAAAATGTGTAGAGCTAATTTAGGCCCCAAGTCAGCAAAACACTTAAGTGTGAATTCAAGTGCTTTGCTTAACAGGAATAGAATTAAGAACACATTTAAATGCTTTGCTGAATTGGGGCCCTGTGCACTTACATTTAAGCATGTGCTTAAATTTAAGAATGTTCTTAAGTGCTCTGCTGATCCTTACTCAAAATTATGAGTTCCAGGTGGATCATGTAAGGGCCAAGGGGAAAATTTGCAAAGTTATAGACAGGAGTTAGGTGCCTAATTCCCACTCGCTTTCAATGGAATTTAGGCACCAAGCTGCTATTTGTGTCTTTGAGAACTTCCTCCTTGGCTTTCATTGTCTGAATCTTCCATGCTTTGTGCAGAAACCCTGATAAGTAGGGATATGATTGTGTCACACAATAATTTTCAAAGGTTGTTTCATGGGATAGCTGCAAATTCATCTGTTCATAATTATTCCTTGGCTCTCCATTGTCCTGTTTGGATTTGTATTTATCTTATCAGGGTCATTGTGCATATGCTGGATCACCTGTTATTGCTTTGGCTGAATGTTTCACCTTGTTTGGCCCTTCATTTGCACTCACAATCATTTGTGTCTGCCATGGTGAGAGAATTAAGATTGGGTCTGAGTTTTGGCTCCTGTGCCACTCAGTGTATATGGTGGGGGATAGTTTGGACTAGATTTTGGCTCCGCCCATAATGCAACTTTTAATTGTAATTTTGTAACCCACTAGAGGCAATATCACCCTAACAAGTTACAAGTAACATGCTTCATTTGGGGACAGATCCGATGCTAGTGCAAATGATCATAGCTAATTTACAGCAGCTGAGGATCTGCCGCTCTCTGTCCACATAGCAGCTGGCACAGCTGCGTGTGTGCACCAGAATCTACATGGCTGCTTGTGCCAGTCTATTCTGGACGAATCCATGCAGCTGTCCCCTAGTGCCTCAGCAGGACAGAGTGCTCTAACAACGTTCACACAACGCCACAGCAGCGCATGGCCCAACGTGCTGCAGGACATCCTACCACAAGGAACTGGAAGGAGGGGTGGCAACCTCGCTATGCAAATACGTCGAGGGCTGAACTACAAGGAAAATGTGCTGGGTGACTTACAAGTGGGCACCGATGTGCCAGACTTGTTGTCTGGCTAAGGTGAAACACTTAGCGGCCACAGTTACTGAGCTTTCGCCGTGGTCTGCAAATCAGGTTTAGTGCCAACCAACCCATTAACTGGTGACAAAATTAGTTGATGTTTCCCCCACACACAGCTCAGCTCCACAGTCTAATTGTGCACGCATTGCTACAGGATGTCTTTGAGACAAAGAACTTAGTGAGGTTGTAAGAGAGAATGGGCATTTATATGGATAACAGGAATACAGATGGATAGTAAATCTAAAAAAGAGTTTGATAACTGATATAACATCTCATGCTTCAGGGCTTAAGCCAATTTCTATTGTGGGTTAGGGAGTGACTTCTATAGAGGGCAGATTATCCCTCATCCACCTGCAGAGGGGTTCCTCTGAAGCATCTGGTGCTGGCCAACGTCAGAGACAAGATACTTAGATGGACCTCAAGTCTGACCCAGTCAACAAGACATATGTTCCTATTAATTACAGCAGTGAAGTTAAGACAATCTGCTCAGGAGCTCAGCATCACCACCTTTCATTTACTTTTCCTTGGGTGGGTCACACGGCCTTTATGGTCTATGGCTCAATTCTGCCAGGTGCTGTGCGCTCTGCTCCTGATCCAGCAAAGCACATTGTGGGGGTCTTGGAGTGTTACCAGAGAGGACCAGGATGCATTGCAGTGGGGAGTTTAATAAACGTGGGAACTTCCTGGTTGGGAGAGTTTACTAGTTGCAGCTTAAAGCATGGCTCGTTATGTTTACTTCCTTGCAATACCTGGGGTCAACAGTGAGTGAAACCCTCTCTTTAAAGAAGTAGTAAAGGAAAGAAGAGAACCCCAGACTGCCAGGGTGGTGAGCGAGTGGGGCAAGTGGAAAGTTAGGAAGGAGACCTGTGAAAGCTGCAGCCAGGAGTGGTCAGCGCCCTGTCTCAAGGCAGCAGTGGAGCCTAAATAGCATAAATGGCTCTGCTAGAAAAGTTTGATTTTGGCAGCTCAGGCAGTGGACGTTCATAAGAACATAAGAACGGCCAGATGGGATCAGACCAAAGGTCCATCTAGCCCAGTGTCCTCTGGCAAGGAGTTCCACAGGTTGACAGTGCACCATGTGAAGAAATACTTCCGTTTGTTTGTTTTAAACCTGCTGCCTATTAAATGGATGGATCCAGAGAGCTGAGAGATTTCAGATAAGTTCTGTTTTCTACAGTAAAACCTCAGAGTTATGAGGAATGGGGGTTGTTTGTAATGCTGAACAAAACATTATGGTGGCTCTTTCAAAAGTTTACCACTGAACATTGACTTAGTAAAGCTTTGAAACTTTACTATGCAGAAGAAAAATGCTGCTTTTAACCATCTTAATTTAAATAAAACAAGCACAGAAACTGTTTCCTTACCTTGTCCAATCTTTTTGAAAACTTTCCCTTAATTTTTTTTAACACAGTACTGTACTGTCTTTGCTTTTTTCCCCCCTCTCTCCCTGCTGCTGCCTGATTGCGTACTTCCGGTTCCAAAGGAGGTGTGTGGTTGACTGGTCAGTTCATAACTCTGAGGTTCTACTGTATTTGTCGTGAATTTTAATATAGAAACAGACCACTAGCCCTTATTGGAACTACTGGGTTCGAAACCACTGGATGACTTTCTACCTCAGAATCAAAGATTTCGAGCCGGGCGGATACAATTTTCTTTCAACATTGAAAACATACCTGGGAAAGCACCAATAGCAGCAGACACCATCTAGAGCAGCAGCCAAGCAGCCACCAATGGAAGAAGAGGCTTTAGAGAAAGATGTCGAAGGCTACATTGACCTTATTATGGCAGCAACCCCAGCATCTGCCAGCCAACTTCAGCAAATTAGAGATGAAAAACTAAAGGATGAACATGCTGGAAATGGACTCAACTTTGTCAAAGAGGGTGTGGTTGAAGAAGGCAACTTCCAACAGACCTACTGCCTTGTTGGCAGGACTGAAATAAGCTTTACATGGCTGAAGGTCCATTCTTATCATTATGGTACTTCATAAAGAGATGCTATCCAAAATCCGGGCAGGACACCAAGGAGTAACAAAAATGCAGGGCATGAGCACAACAATCTATGGTGGCCTGATCTGAACAGGCAAATTCAGACCTTAGTAGAGGGTTGTAAAATATGTAACTGGGGGGTGGAGGGTAGGGTGGGGAAACAGTCTCCAGAACCATTGCTCTCTACAAAGCAATCTGAAAGACCTTGGCAGCTGGTAGCCACAGATCAGTCTTTCTGGAAAGGACATACATAATTGCAGTTGATTACTTTGAGATATATAGAGTTGGCTATATTCAGAATTCACTGGCATAGGTCATTCAGAAACTAAAGTCAATATTTGCAAGACATGGAGTTCCTGAAGTCCTCATCTTGGATAATGGGCCTGGATTTACCTCTGCAACATTCCTAGCATTTGCACAGGGCTTTGATTTTGAAGATCGTACTAGTAGTCCACATTCTCCCCAAGCAACAAGGAGGGAGAGAGAGCAGGGCAGACTTTTAAAAGACTTCTGCAAAAATCAGCGGACCCATATAAAGCACTCTGAGTCCTGGCATATCAGTCAACACTGCTTGCTTCTGGACTATCTCCAGCAGAACTTCTATAGGAAGTCAACTAAGGATGACTTCACCTGTGGCACCATTACAGATTACATTTAAGTGGGTTCTGCTTGGCGGTGTTTATTGCTGACGTGTTTCTTTCCCTTGCCCTTCTTTGGTTTCCTTCTCTCCTTCAGACACTGCTACATGGGAGATCCCATGAAGGAACAAAACAGGATGTCTGTTCTTTCTTTTGTCTGGTAACTTTCCTTAGCAGGGCTAGATCGCACAAGCTGCTGAGCACCTCCTGAGATGTGCTGGATATCATGTCTGTGTGCCTCGCAGAAGGCATTCAGCACTTACCAGGATCAAGACCTAAAGCTATTGTGAGCAGGCTAGTGTATTGACTGTAATTGTTGGAATTTACAGTTCACACACACCTTTCTTTGTGGCCCTGTTGCAGAGTATCAGTTTGCATTTTTATAAAGATTTAGTACCACCCTGTTTATATTTGATAAATGTTTACATTAATGTTTTGTTCTAATGGAACAGTCCATGACCCTCCTATGTTAAATGATAGCTCTTTACAAACCCCACTGCCAGGAGAGCTATAAAACCATAGACGAGATATTACCTAAGCAGAAAACTGTCTGCCCACGACATAGACAAAACCAACGTTCTGTGCTCTTGGGAGCCTCCTGCTGATTTTCAGGTAATGTTGTTAGCTATGAGAACACAGCTGAGTTGATGTCGATGAGCCAGGTACATCCACCGGATACATTTGTTCATAACCGATTGAAGCAAACAAATGAAAAAACATATATGGGAAGATTTTTAAAGGCATAAAGGGGTGTCAGGCACCAAATTTCCATTGGGATTGCTTGACCTGCCCTTTGTGCAGGCCTTTGAAAATCTCCCACTTAAATTCGAGGGAAACAAGTTGCACTCTCATGCCTCAAAGGGTACGTCTACACCGCAGCTTGGAGACGGAATGATTGCGAGCATGGGTGCAGACATTCACACCGGCTTTGCACAAGATAGCGCACTCGTGTGGTTATTGCGGCACTGATGGTGGCTTGGACTAGCCGCCCACATCCAAGCCCATCCAACCCCCGGGTCCAAGCTCAGGCAGCTAGCCCAAGATGCCGCGTATGCTGCAAAGT